ATTTTTGAAGTAACAACACAGGCAAATACAAAGTTTTCACAAATAAAAGATCCTTAATTTTATCTTACAATTTGTGATAGTTCGTCCCATTCAAAGAACTCATCCTACTAGTATTAATCTCCATAATTTTGACAATCGAATATGCTCTTATACCATATTTTGGAAATAATAATAATAATACACAGCGATATAATTATCTAATTGTAGAATATCACAGGAGCACTAATAAATAGTAAAAATATAACGACACACCAATTTACATGGAAAAGCTCTCCAATACAAAGAGGAAAAATAACGAACTCTTCAGCCCATCAAAAAATCCACCATCACTGAAAATAGAGTATAAAGATCCAAAATTAAAATTTCAGATATGGCATAAATAATACGAAGTTCACCGAAATCTCGATCTCATAAAAATAATTAAAAACCAAACAAGAATTGGCAAAAAACCTGTTATGCTTCCATGAAGATATAGATGTCCTCTATCTTCATTAAATTGTTCACGTTTATCGGACAATGTTTGTTATGTCGATCAAGAAAAAATATAAATTTGTGTCGAGAGAGAGACCTTTGCACAATGGCTACTCTGTTATGTCTCATTTTTTCTACGTATGGTTGCTTCTACTCTAATATTCTGAAAAAAAAAAATAAAAATAGTTAATTAGGTCATAATAATCAGTTAGGCCTAATTACCTTTTAAATTGAAACTTTAATTTACATAGTTAGGATCCCGAACCTAATAGTTGACTGTTATGGATAGCTAATATCCAACTAATATTTGATTCTCATCCATCAATTCTACCGGATGCAAAAATGAATGTTCAATTATCCTCCCACACCAAATTATATTTAACATCCTTTTGAGGGTAAGCGAAACTAGGGTTGATGTAGTTTAATATGTAGTAGTTGTCTCTGACTGAGTGAAAATTGCAAACCTTTCCATTTCATGAATAGGCTCCATGACTAATAAATACTATATTTCAAAATTCTTTTTGGATGCAATTTTCTTATGATTTGCAACTAAAAGAACTTCAAAATACCACAACATACCAAATGATAAAATATATATATACACATTTTTCTAGGCATTTTGGCACAATTAAGCACATTTTCAATAAAAAAATTGCAAGATATCAATGCAAGAACCGCTAGGAGAATATATTCAAAATCCATGTTATCAAAGCTAATCCATCAAATCCTCGACTGACCCTACATCACTTGCAAAGATTAGGCTGATGCTCCATTTGAATGAATCCAATCAAATGGTGATGACAAACTTACCTTTTGTGGAATATTATTTAGACCACAGATATATTATACACAACTAAAACCCTAGAGTATAATAATTTATTCCATCACTTATTGACGTGCATACTTCTTCCAGACATCCATCAGGTAAATTGGTGATTTTGATGTTTGAGCGTTGACGTAAAAATTATAGAGTTGAGTTGTACAAGCATTATTTAGTGAATAAAATAACCCTAAGGATATCATATTTGTCTAGAACTCATCATCGAAGGGTCTAACATATCTGTAACTATTTTTTTTTTATTGTGGTAAAGTAATTGGGCTAATGGAAAGTAGTAATTTTCATCCTTATGATCTTCTACTATTTTTAGAAATTCAGTACCCAATAAATACACAAGTATTTAATAGTCACAACACAGGATTTTGAACTAAGTACTTGTCAAGTGCACTTACACGGTGCAAGTGTTCATTTATGTAAGACAAATTTTTTCATAATCTTTTCTTCTTTCCTCTAAGTTGTGGAATTTGAACTACCTAGGGGCTCGCTTAAATTCCAAAAATTGATATGAGAAGTGAAAACCTAATGATCGAAAATCACCCGACGACAAGGGAGTGAGACTAAAGAGAATAGATGAAATTATATGTGGAATTAAATATCTAAAAACCAAATAACATAAAAAAAATGTTATCTTATTTTATGCCTTGTGTTAAATTATGTTTTGTTCAAGCTATTGTAAAGATTGGCTAGGAACAAGGTTCTATGAGCAAATAACTGGCCAAAATCAATGTTGATGGCTAGAAACAAAAAAAAAATGAAATGCATTTAGTACTCAAATATTCATAACCTTTATTTAATCAGAAAAAAAAAAAAAAAAAAAAAAAAAAGAAGCAAAAGCTACATCTTTAGTTTCCAAAGGAACCAAATCTAGTTTCCCAAAGTTGTTAATAATTGACTGGGTTATAGCGGCTTGTTTTCTTCTTCCTCTTAACTCCAATATTTTTTGGGTAGAGGAAACTCATGGGGTAGACTCCCAACAAACTTATTTTCTGCCATGAATGGCAACGCTGCAATAACTGCTACATTAAGCAATGTCATGTTTATCAACCATTTTGAAACAACAATACAAGAATACAAAGTCCAACAAAAGTAATTAAATATCTAAAATACTTCATTATCTAGAAATAATTGTTACATATTATAGAACTTTAGAGTTTGTAATTAATTAAAATAAAAATCACAAGTCTACAAATAAGAGTGATACAAACTAGAAAGACTTAACTATCTAAAATAACATATATAATAAAATAATAATAATTTGATGTAGTTAATAAAAATTTAATCTAAATCATAAATTAAATATCTAAAATACTTCATTATCTCCATTAAAACTCAAGTGGTGTCATAGAAATAACATGATTTTGCTAAGACGGATCGAAGGAATTAGCCAAAATCTTCCACTAAGTCAAATTTAGAATCAATGCTCTTAAATGAGTTAAAGTTAAAAATAATACTTACTAATCAATGGAGTTAGAACTAGAAATAGAACTCTCTCACAGTGAAGCTAAAATAGAAAATATGGCTCACTCACAATGAAGTTGAATTGTGAAATAAGACTCACTTACATTGAAGTTAGAGTTAGAAAAACAATTTGATTATTGAGCTATAGTTAAAAACAAAACTTACTCACAACAAAGTTAGATTAAAAGGTAGGAATCTCAATACAGTTTGAGTTAGAAGTAGGACTCTAAATTGAACTGAATCTAGACAAATGATCGAAGGCCAAACATAAACTTTAATAAAAATTGAAAAATGAATCTAGTATATACGAAACTATAGACACCTTTTAGTATATTTTGGGTTCAGTGTACCTAGAGGAATGTAGCTCTGATATCATATTATATTTTGTAGTTTGAGAGTTTTTATTTTATTAGTGATGAGGTTAGTGACCTATATTTAATGACTGGTTTGGAGTCTTGCAACTTCAAATTTTGTCATTCGCTATGAGCTTTTGGCAATATAATCAATTTCAGATGATTGTGCTTTTCTTTTAATTTATTTCATAAGTCAAGAGGATACTTGACTATGAGGTATTCTATTTTCAATCCTTCATGAGATGTTAGAGGAATATTATTGTCTTTGTTCGACCCTGATTGGTGACATTATTACCTTTTACAATTGTTTTACTCAGGCCCATCACTTCCAAATGTATTTCAACATTCATGATCTACGAAAAAATGTTTTTTTTTTTCAAAAATGATGAGTGGGACAACTTCGTATTTTACAATGTCAATAGTCATAATAATATGGAAATATACTAACCTTTTCAAAAGAGTTAGTCGTGCTAATAACGTGTTATAATATTAATATACTAATAAAAAATAGAAATATTAATTATTTCTACTGTTAATCATTATTTTGTGTATATATATTAATGTGGTATATATGTGTATACATAGCCCGTATATATAGGTGCGTACTATGTGAGTCAGTGTATATGTATATGTGTGTAGGTAATGATAATATATATATATATATGTATAGTAGGCAACATGTGTTTTATATTATGTGTGTGATAGTGCTTATATTAGTTATGCATTTATGAAGATGAGACAACTCACAAGTCAGTAGAGAGAAAGAAGGTAAAAGATGGTGTGTTTATTCTATTTGTATTCGTACATATTTTTAGGCAACACAAAATGAAAAATTGGGTATATTTCTTTAGATGGGTTTGAAAAAAATTTGGTTTGAGTTTAGTATTAAAATAATGTATGATGGGATATTTTGTGAGAGAAAAAAATATATTTTTTTAAAAAAAAACGCAAAGTTCAAATAGTAAGAACCTGGGGTTTTGAACAAAAAAATCATATGATTATTAATCTGTCATAAGCTAAACACGTAGATGCTATGTAATAAACCATCCACATCTTGTACACATCGCTAATATGTGTACAACAAAATCAATTTTCTTGTTCTAATAGAAAGAAAATCCATATTTTTTTTAAGTAGTATGTGAGCGGTTCAAGATGAAAATAATTAATTAAAATAACAATATTAAATATGGCATAAGAGATATAAGAATAAAAATATTAATTAACTATAAATACAGTACTAAATTTTTAAATTTTCCTAAAACTAATAGTATGCTAACAGAGGAAGTAATTTTTTATTTTATTGTAAAATTCTTTGTTATGAATTATCGTATCCCATATTATTTTTCTATTCTTATTAGTGTTATTATTAGAATGAATTCATTATCAAAATTATAACTTTGTTGTATAAAATATATAGAAAAATACTATATGACCGCTTCGGTTACCGTACCGTGTTGATTTGTTCAAATAGCACCAATTAAATATTTTAAAAGAGTATGTTTTTTTGTAACACACGATATGCTGAATCGATGTTCTATTTAAGACGATGCTGAATTTTAAATTCAACATCGTAATTGCTGCTTATATAGTATAGTTTTATAGTTAATCATGTAAATTCACATCTATATTTGGAATAATGGTTTAAAAACTCGGACAAAACGTCGATTAAAAGTGCGGATAACATCACATTTCACTTAAACCAACAAAGTTTAATTTTATGCGAAAAATAAAATTCATTCATGGTAATGTCCAACAAAGAGAATTGTGAGCATACCCACAAAGCCACACAAATATAACAAGAATAAATGTTCATCAAACTGAAATTAATTGAAGAAAAACAAGAGGATTAAATATAAATCATTCCAAATCCAGATAGTTTCCTACTTAGGTGGTTGAGAAGGATTAAGCCGAAGTTCACCGGGCCCGGATGAGCTTTCCCCGCCACCGCGTTGGTTGGCCGCACGAGACTCCACCATTTGAAGTAATTCAACAAAAGAGGCAGGAAATTCTGTAGAATATCCGGTTGGTTGAACCGGCGGCGCCATAGCCATGGGAGCCTGTATCATCGAGTTTGGCTGTTGGTTGATGTTAGATTGATGATGAAAAACATGTGGCGCCGGGTGAGACTCACCATGCTCTTGGTTTTGGGATCGATAGCGACTTAAATACAGTGATAGAGGCTCAATATAGTCGTTGAAACCCTTCATTTCCATAGCTCGAATGATGTCCTCTGCCAGAATAGTTCTTCTGTAATCCCTATCACAACCTCTGTTAGCTTCACTTGTAATGACATTAATGAACTTAGTGAGGCACTCTTGCAACACCACTTTTGATTCGTTGGAAATAAGGGCGTAGTAGGGGAGGACACGCCGCATGATTCGGGTTATACGCGGTGTAGCTATACGTAGCTCTGGTCCATGCATGTTTGGAGCTTCTTCTTCATGCTCCTCAATTCCTATATTATCAGCATTTGTCAAAATATTTGTAGTTACTGTATTTCTTCGACAATTCTTGAATATGAGTAATGAGATAGAACATAGACAGAAAATTAACTATAGCATGTTTCGAAATTCCTGAAAATTCTTTATTTATGATAGCTGGATGGAGAAAGAATAAAAGTGAATACACTATGTGTGTGTAAGAAATTATTTTTTAAGACTAGAGGACATAGACCGACTATTTTTTTTTATTTTTTTATATGAAATGGATTCAATTTTAATTTATGTCCTTAGATGTTTACAAGTACTTATTGGAATAATTAAAGGATAAATCAAATTATTACTACTACTACTACTACTAATAATAATAATAATAATAATAATGTGTTGGAGTAATTAATAAACATATTCAAATTTTTTATAAAATATATACAATGGAGAAGTCAAATGCATATATGTTTATTCAGATAATTTTAGTGATTTTTTTTTTTTTAATGTAAAAATGACTAATACAATTGCATTGTTTTAAACCTTCATCAAAATAAATAATGTCTTTAATATATATACATGAAAAGAAATTATATGATTATATTGCCTTTTTAATTAAGTTTTCTTTTAAAAATATTAGATCAAAATTAAATATAATAAAGGTATTACAAAAATGAAAATTAATAATAACTGTAAAATGATAAGTATTTAGCAAAAAATAAAAAAAGTATGAGTAATTAAGAAATCGTTCCCAAAAACCTTTTTGAAATTTATATAATACAATAATCTTTAAATAATTAAATTTAATAAAGCATGTTCACATTAAATGGATATAATTAGTAAACATGTTTATTTGTCCATCTTCAAATTTCTGAAAAATATGACCTCAAATAAATTAATTAATAGGTTATTTTTCTATCCAACGATGCTTTCACAAACAAATGATTAAAAACTTCAAAGGTTATAAGAATGCACCTTGTTAGAAAAGCTATGAACATTTTATCGATGATTCAACAGTGAATTTGATAAATTAAATATATATATATATATATATACATATGGATACCTCAACTAGAAAAGACAAAAACAAATGGCAATTAGAATGGTGGATATTGATTATATAAATCGATCGAAATCTTATAATAATAATAAAAAAAAAATTGCGTAGAAAATACATTTGTCAATTAGTTTCGATTCAATAAAGTAGCAAAGATATAAATGCTAGCTTGAAAAATATAACGGTCAATATATACATAAATATAATTAATAGAAAGCGGCTATATCTATAACCCGACAAATTTGAAAGGTATATATATGGAAATTATGTGCCAAAATCTTTATATATAGCATCATAAAAAGAAAAAGAAATGCAATTTTACCTGATTGAATTTCTTGTTCTTGAGAGTCTGCCATCTTTAAATTCTATAAAGATCAAACAAATACTTTTTTGTAAGGTTTGATAGATTTGATTTGAATGATTGCTTAGTCTGCAATGTGAGAGGCTTTATAGATGAAAAATTAATCTTAAAAATGAGTCTAAAGGTGCAAAAGAAAAATAACAATAATAATATATTAGAAATTTAATGATAATAATAAGATATTAGAAATCTAATGGTGTTTATTTTGTGAGATTAGAGTGAATACACAGTTAACAAATATAATTTTATTATGCACTTTTATACCTAAAATATTCATGATTATCAATTATTCAAATCATAATTAAAAAAGAAAAAAGTTACTATTTTATGAATTCGATATTAAAATTGTTTTATAATAATTCATGAGATCGCCCATTGAATTCAAGTAATAAAATTGTAAATATCAACTTTATTTTAATGATAAAGATTTTCAAAATAATTAAAAATTATTTTGAAAATATAAAATGATAACTAATAAAAGAGTTACTGTTTTGCTTTTTTTTTTTTTTTTTCTTATTCTAAAAATAAAAAAAATTTGATATATATAGGATGTAGTATGTAATTCAAAAATTTATTATGGAATTAAATGATATATAAACTTAATATATAAAATCTCAGAAAATAATTATTCGATGCTTATTTTATTTGTCAAGTGTTAGGTAAATATTAATATACCACGATTCAAATATTAATCGTATCATAGAATAAATTAAAATAAAATTAAAATAAAAAATTATTAAAATGTTTAATCTCTACTTTCATTTTTCATCTTTATGCCTTAGCTCCATTTCAATGAAATACAATAGAGTTGCTTTATATTTTTCCTTGACCTTATTCATATAAATAATTATTCATAATCTATATTACGAGAGTAACATAATAAATCAATAAGAAATCAAGTATATGCAATTATTCCATAAAGATTTTCAAGTAATTTTATTTAGTGGTTAATTATAAATATATTTATAATATGTATTGTGAATTAAAAATTGAAATATGTGTTAGATTTGATCTTCAACACCAAACACTGGGTGCTCCATCACACGTGTGCGTACATATACGCACACGTGTGATGGAGCACCCACCATCACCCAGCATCACGATGTTGAAGATCTAATGCTATCTTTAAAATATTGTGTTTGTTGTCGCGAAGGTTTAAGTTGAAGTTTGAGTAAGGTACATCCAAATTTTTTGAACGCTATTCGATCTTTAAATATTCATCGTACTATCTTTCATATGTATTGATTAGGGGTGAGCAAAAAAAATCAAATCGAACTATCAAACAGCTGAACCGAATTGAACTCGAACCGAATTTTCGATTAACCGAGCAAATTTTGTTCGAATACAAATACTGTATATTTAATATTTTTTCGGTTCAGTTCGATTTCGGCTTTTTATATTCTTTTTTGTTCAATTAATTGAACCGAATATATTTATATTATTATTGTGGACAAAAAATTGTGTTATTTTTAATAAACACAAAATTTGTACAAATTATATATAATTTGAATTTAATGCGGGTCCTATTCTCTAAATGGGTCCTTTGATTCTCCTTCCGGGTCAATTTGTTTTCCAACTTGGTTTTCGACGGCTTCTTTGATCCGAAGAGATTTGGTCTTTCGGTTTGATTTTGCCGGATTTTGGAGAGCTTTGGTCTCCGTGCAGGCGATTTGATCATCAGCTTTGGATTTGATGTCTTTTTTGGACCATCCGAGATTTTGATATTTGATTTGGCTTTGCCACCTTTTGGAGGGCTTTGGTCTCCATGTTGGCGATTTGATCGTCGACTCTGGATTTGATGTCTTCTTTAGACGATCCGAGACTTTGATCTTTGTTTTGGCGTTGCCGCTTTTGGAGGACTTTGGTCTCCGCGTAGGTGATTTGATCATCGGCTTTGGATTTGTTATCTTCTTTAGACGATCCGCAGCTTTGATTTTTGGTTTGGCTTTGCCGCCGTTCGAAGAGCTTCGATCTCCGTGTAGGCGATTTGATCATCGGCTTTGGATTTGATGTCTTCTTTGGACGATACGCGGCTTTGATCTCTAGTTTGGCTTTGCCGCCTTTTGGAGAGTTGTGGTCTCCGTGTGGGCGATTTGATCATCTACTTTGGATTTAGTGTCTTCTTTAGACAACCCGCGGCTTTGATCTTTGGTTTGCCTTTGCCGCCTTTTGGAGAGTTTCGATCTCCGTATGGACGATTTGATCGTCGGCTTTGGATTTAATGTCTTCTTTGGACGATCCGCAGCTTTGATCTTTGAGGAGGTGGATTTGGTGCTCCATAACACTTTTGGTCGCGTATCCCTTTGACTTTTGTATCGAAGAGGGCCGAGTTGTTGCTTTGGTGAAGAACGCGATAAACACCTCGAAACTTTGAGATGAACTTTGGATGTTCTTCCTTAGCTTTGATGGACTCTTCAATGGCTTTTGAAGCTTTGATCCTTGAAGAGATGGATTTGGTGCTCCATAACACTTTTGGCGGCGTGTCCCTTTGACTTTTGGATCGAAGAGGGCCTAGTTGATGCTTTATCGAAGAACGCGATGAACATCTTGAAGCTTTGAGAGGAACTTTGAGAGCTTTGATCTTTCCTCCGGCTTGGATATACGACGAAGAACGTTAACTTCATCGATTCGTCGACCAATATTGGATCATTTGTCCAAATTAGTAACTTTCGACGAAGAACACTTCGAAGGACACGAAGAACATGAAGAACAATCCAGAGAGAGACTAGAGACTTACCCCTTTGCTTGAATCCTCGATAAAACTTCGTTGTGTCAAATAAACTAGTCATAGCTCCTATTTATAAGGGATGAGTAGCTTCGGCTTCCTTTTTTAATGATGCCACGTGGCACGTTTTGATTGGTCAATAGGAAGATTTTATAATATTTCATTTTCCATCAGATGCTATTTTCCATTCTTGACGGATTTGATTGTGCACCTTTTTTTCTCACCAAGATCTTTATATCATTGCGTTTTTTGGAAGATATTAATTTATATACTTCCTTTATTGACAAGATTAATTTATTTTGCTGTCAAATTTATTAGGACTCTATTTATGCACGTAATATTTGTACGATATCTTCCATTTTAAGCAGATTTTTGCATTAATGGTTGATATTTATTGTAACAAAATTAACATATGTGCATAATTAAATATCATATATTTATATTATTAGAATTTTATCTTCTTCCAAAATATATGATATTTAATTGATTTTAGACATATATTTTTAGTGTCTACAATTTTATTTTAAATTTTATATTAATAATTATATTCGGTTCGGTTTCGGTTTGGATATTTGAAATATTTGTAAATATTTTTATTTAATTAGAATTTTAATTACTTTTTAATGTATATTTTTAAAATTTCGGTTTGGTTCGAATTATTTGCAAATATTGCAAATATTTTCGGTTAACCGAAAATTTCGGTTCGGATACGATTCGGGTTTCGGGTATTTGTTCAGTTCGATTCGGATATCAAATGTGTGCGTATTTGCAAATACCCGAATCGTGTCCACCCCTATTCTTGATGACAACAAATGTAAGTTTGCCTTGAGTGATCAAATTATCATTTTTTGTATGTATGTTTTATTTTGATTTTGAAATTTGATTACAGTGTTCTTATAAGTTTTATATTATTTTTTTTGCGATTCAGGTTTTTTTTCTTTTTTTTTTTTTTTTTTGAACGATAGAAAAAGGGTTGTACCAATCATATACAGAAAATTCATAGATTTCGTTACCGTATTCTTATATATTTTGTTTTCTTTCTTCTTTTGGGGATTCAGTTTCATTTTTTTAACGATAGGAAAAGGATTGTTGGAGTCATATACCAAAATGTCATGGATTTTATACAAAATTTCTTAAATGATTATTCAATTAATATTGAAATTGTACATACATATATATGGATTTGTTTCCTCATAATTTTTTTTTGACAAGATTTTCCATATATATATATATATATATATTATTCTCTTACAAAAATAAATATTTAATATAAATATTATCTTTTTTATATTATCGACGGGATTCCTAATACTTTACATAAGAAATTTTTTCAAATCAAAACAACAAACAAACAAACTCATATAACTTCACTCCATTATTATTATTATTATTAAATAATTGTTAAAAACAATTAAATTACACTCCAATTCAAATTTCAAATAAATGTTTTATTCAAATATAAAATCCCTTCTACGTATTCAGGAGAAGATATATATAGGAGGACTCTAATGATAGAAAAATTGGTAATAGAAAAAACAATATACAAATACTGCTAAAAAGTTTTATTGTTGAGAAATGTTAGATGGATGGTTAACATATGATATCGTTGAACGAGTCAATAACACTGTTAATTTTGGGAGCGATATCGATTTAAAAGGCGATGTACATATATTCGGGATCAAACTTTATCATAAAATAAATGAGTACGACTAGGGTGTCTGAGACCCTGTTATACATTGATATTGGATACTATAAGATTTTATTTTCACTGGTAAAAGACATGATCACGACCAAAAGGAACTAGGAGTTGAGATAGATGAACTGTGTGGTTGCTTACTTTGAGTATGAGAAACGAGATGATTGTTGTATTCAAATGTTCAAATATTCCTAATTTTGAAAATGCACTGTTTTTGGCTGGGTGCATTGGTCTCCTCTAACATTTCCTTCATCTGGGTCTTATCAGCCACTAACTTATTCAATCCATCACTGTTCTGCCTCGTCATTCTGGTGGAAATAGGATCCAGTAGGTCAGACCAATTACTAGGTAAAAAATAGTCAAACTAGATTCTCATTTGCCCAAAATCAACATTATATTTGTTCCTAATTTTCCAAATAAACAAATGAATGTCTAAAAAAATTCTAATCCAATTTAAATAGTTTAAGCACTAATAAAGGTCTAAAAAATAAAAGTTCAAACATATAAATATGAATTGATTATTTAAAAACTAAAAAATCAAAGTTTGCGAAGAGTCAAAATTTAATTTTTTTTTTTTTT